TGCTCTGCTCTGCTGACCCCTGCTCTGCTCTGTCCAGAAGCTCAAAAGAACAGGGCCTAAATTACAAGTTATGACAGGCTTCATATTATATTATTTCCTTTTCCCTTCTTCGTATACCGTGAAAAGAGAAATTCCTAAATAAAAACAATTTTCAAACATATACTACATCCGGTCCAAATTATTCGCAACTTTGAGGTATTATTTGTGAGATATAAAAAAAACCAAAGTTACGAGTAATTTGGACCAGAGGTAGTATAAGTGATTTTTTTTATTCATCATCACCATAAACACATTATGTCTAAAACATTAAAGTAAAAATCATTTTATTCTAATCAACTTCTATCAGTAGAAATTTAGTGATACATTTAGTACAGTGTTACAAACAAGTGGGGCCCATACGCCGAAGCTTGTTGCCGCAAAGTTGAAATGGGTAGTGCTACTCTAAGTTTTTAAATTTAAAAGGTAGTTTTTTGATAAAAAAAATTAGCGAGTAGTTGTTCACAATTACCCCTATCAAGCATGTAGTTCCTAACAATTTTTCCTTTTTATAATCAGTAAATATACATACATTTTTTATTTTGAACGGAAATATGTCGACATTTTATATTGTTAATGGAGTTTGCAACAGTTTCTAGGTATATTAGGCAAGTTTAGAGTACTATAAAGATATAATTTTTTTTAATTTTTTTTTTTACTTTCATATTTCTACTTACAAAAAATGTTATAAATAAAAAATATTGGATGAAAATAATTTTGTTTTTATTTTGAAGAAGATTATTATTCTCTAATTATTGATAAGTTGAGAATAAATTAGTTACAATAAAATGTATATATATACAAGTGAATTTGATTGAATTGGTTGATTTAGTATTAATAGCTAATCTTAAAGGGCCATTAAAAAAATTGAATTATATAATTTATTGTAGAGTTTACAATCGAGTTAATAAAATTATATGACATAGAATTATAAAATTGAGTTTACGAGAATGAGTAATTATAACTTTGGTGGATCTAATAATTTGAGAAGGATTTAAAATTAATTGATAAGTGTTAGATTTCGGGAAAACTCCTTAGCCTGGAGTGTGTACCATTGAATAATATATATAGGTGTTTACAAGGGTCATAATCCTATTATGATAAGGATACGAAGTATATCAAAAATATATACAATATTATCATAATCTGTGACAAATATTATTGTAAATATAATATCTATCACACCCCCGCAGTCGTAGCGGAAGGAGGTCGTACGCTAAGACTGGACCTGAATTCCAGAAATAATTCTCGAGGTAGGCCTTTGGTGAAAATATCCGCAAACTGATACCGAGTAGGAACATGTAGTACTCGAACTTGCCCCAACGCAACCTTTTCTCGAACAAAATGAATATCCATCTCCACATGTTTGGTGCGTTGGTGTTTTACCGGGTTGTCGGAAAGGTAGATAGCGCTGACATTATTACAATAAACAATAGTAGCCTGCCGTAGAGGACAATGTAACTCAAGTAATAGATTCCGAAGCCAACATGCCTCAGAAACAACGTTTGTGACACCTCGATATTCTGCTTCTGCACTCGACTTAGATAATGTATGCTGACGCTTAGATGACCAAGAAACGAGGTTGTCCCCAAGAAAACAACAGTAGCCCGAAGTGGAACGCCGGGTATCGGGACAACCTCCCCAGTCAGCGTCAGTGTAAGTGATCAAGCGATGAGAAGCAGTAGGATATAAATGTAAACCGTGATCAATGGTACCCTGAACATAACGCAAAATGCGTTTCAGTGCCTCATAATGAGGTTCCCGGGGATCATGCATAAATAGACACACCTGCTGTACCACATAAGAAATATGTGGCCTGGTGAAAGTGAGATACTGAAGAGCACCTGCTAGACTGCGATACAAAGTAGGATCCCGAAAAGGTGGTCCTGCATCTGCACTAAGCTTGGACTTTGTGTCTATTGGAGTTGATGCGGGTTTACATGAGCTCATACCTGCACGCTCTAAGATCTCCTGTGCATACTTTTCCTGCGAAAGTAGCAAATAAGAGGGTTTACGGGTTACCGCAATCCCTAAGAAATAACTCAGAGGGCCCAAATCAGTCATAGGAAACTCATTTTGTAACTGAGAAATAATTCCTACACGCAACCTGCCAGATGAGGTAGCTAAAATAATGTCATCAACATATAGAAGCAAATATGCCATATCATCACCCTGCCGGAAAGTAAAAAGAGAAGTATCGCTCATGGCAATGACAAATCCCAATTTAATCAGAAAATTTTCAAACCGTTGGTACCAAGCTCTGGGAGCTTGTTTCAAACCATATAAAGCCTTTTTCAATCTGCAAACATGAGAGGGGGCTCTCCGACCGACAAAACCCGGAGGTTGATGCATATAAACTGTTTCCTGCAAATCACCATGTAAAAAGGCATTTTTGACATCTAGTTGATGTATCGACCACTTTTTAGCCAAGGCTAAACTGAGAATAGTGCGAATAGTAGCCAGTTTTACTACCGGACTGAAGGTCTCATCACAGTCCACACCAATTTCCTGCGACCTGCCATCACATACAAGACGAGCTTTGTGCCTTTTAAGGTCACCATTAGACTTGTATTTATGTTTAAATAACCACATACAATTAACAACATTCACCCCCGTAGGCTTAGGAACCAACTCCCATGTCCCTATTTTAATTAAAGCACTATACTCATCGTTCATCGCCGCATTCCAGTTATGGTCATTTAAAGCTTGTTTATAAGATTTTGAAAGGGGAGATTTTTGAGGAGTAGGACCCGAATTAGGAACGGTAAGATTGCAATATTTCGGATTTGGCTTATAAATGCCCCTTTGACTGCGTGTGACGTGAGGGGAGGGTGGCGGTGGTCTGGTTGGCTGGATCGGAGGGATGCCACGGAGGGGAGGGGGACTGTAGGTGGCAGGCGGGGTGCTGACCGGGTGCGGCAGAGGTGACCGTGGACTGGTTGCGGCAGCAGGTGACCCGCAATGGACCTGTGGAGTACTCTGCCTTGGGGAATTAGTTTGTGATGTAGGTGGGCTTGGAGGTGGGGTGGGCTGTGGGCTTGCTGCAGTTGGGCCTATAGTGGGTGGGATGTGGCAGCGAGCTTGGGCTTGCCGTAGGAAGGCATGTGTGAGCAGTGGTGAGGACTCGGTTTCTCCTAAAAAATTATAATCCTTTAGACTGAATTTTTCCAAATTTTGGTATGGAAAAGTGGACTCATCAAAGGTGACATGTCTAGATATAATGATTTTATTTGTGGAGATATCGAGGCATCTAAAACCACGGTTATTAGGGGGATAACCCAAAAAAATACAAGGAGTGGACCGAGGAGCAAGCTTATGAGGAGCGGTGGAGGAAAGATTTGGGAAACATAAGCAACCAAAGACACGGATGTGGGAATAAGATGGTATGACTCCAAATAATGCTTGAGCCGGAGTAATATTTTTGAGGACCTTAGTCGGTAAAATATTAAGAAGATAAGTGGCGGTCTCAAGAGCATAAATCCAATAGGATGGGGGTAAGGAGGCATGAAAAAGCAAAGTGCGCTTAATATTATTTAAGGTGCGGATCATTCTCTCGGCTTTACCATTTTGGGAAGAGGTGTGAGGACATGAGAATCGAAACACCATGCCATTATCTAAGCAAAGCTTTTTGAAAGGGTCATTATCGAATTCACGACCATGGTCACTTTGGAAAGATTTAATTGACCTTTCAAATTGAGTATGAACATATTGTCTAAAATTCAAGAGAGTTTGAAAAGCTTGAGATTTATAAACAAGAGGAATGGTCCATACATAATGGGTGAAATCATCAAGTAGTACTAGATAGTATTTGTGACCATTAATACTACGAATTGGAGAAGTCCAAAGGTCAGCATGAATAATGTCAAAAGCACACAAAGTATTACTATTAGAAGAATAAAACGGAAGTCTAGTATGTTTCCCAATTTGACAAGAATTGCAAAAATTGGAGTCAAGCTCCTCATTACAATCAATAAAATTATTATTCCTAAGAAAGCTTAAAGACTGTGCTCCAGGGTGTCCTAAGCGGTCGTGCCAAGTGTGAGGAGACACGGTGGAAAGAGAGGTGGCAAGGCATGATGTTGATGAAGAGTGGTTGGTGAATGGATAAAGGTCCCCAAAGCTATTACATCTCGTGATTATTTTCCCCGTGCGTAGATCCTTCACAGAAAAACCGTTTGGGTCAAATTCTATAGACACAGAATTATCATTGGTAAATTTACGGACTGAAATTAAGTTCTTAATAATTTGAGGGGCAAAGAGAACATCACGAAGTTCTAACTTATTTTGGGGAAGGGTAGAATGACCATAACCTATTACTGGAATACGATGACCATTGCCAACTAAAATATGATTATTAGTGCTTAAATTAAACAAGGGCAAGAGATTACCGGAATTATTTGTCATGTGAGATGATGCGCCCGAGTCCATGTACCATCCATCATCCGGATTAGCCAACGTCATGGTGGAAAAAGAATTCCCGAGCTCAGTTGGAGTCATGAGCGGTCCATAACTTGGTGGGGCTGCCATATAGGCTTGTTGTTGGGCCGGTGAAGTAGGAGCAGGCTGTCCTCTTGATTGGGCTTGCGGATAAGGGTAAGGTGGCCTTACCCAAGTTTGTGAAGTAGGCCCTTGAGGCCAATAAGAGCCAAATATTGGCTGTTGCCAGATGGGCCGGCCCATTGTGGCTGACCAGGCCACTGACTTTGGCCTTGAGGAGGCCCTTATGGAGAGTTTTGTTGTTGCATACTCGTGGACTTGGCTGGGAATTGGCCTTTCCCCCTACCACGCCCCTTTCCCCCTTTGCCACCTTTGCCGTTGGATGTGCCACGGCCAGAAGGTTAGCCGCCATTACCGGAGCCGCGCCCTTGGGACGACTGCTGCTGTTGCGGGGTGTTTGAGGTGGTGGCTTCACCTTGAGCAATAAAGGATTGTGCCTAGGTCGTGGAGTCGTTCGTCCTGCGAGTTTACTCGAGCAACAAACGAGACCTGGTTGTCTCAAAGGTGGGGAGGGGTTCGGTTTGTTGTATCATAGCGGCGACGGTGTCAAAGTCGGTGTTGACGAGTCCCGAGACAAGTCGGATAACCAGTTTCAGTTCGGAGACGGGTTGATCGACATTGGCGAGCTGATCCTTGAGGGTCTTCAATTGCCGACAGTAGGAAGAGATGTCTGGAAAATTGGAGAGATGCAAGGAGTTGAATTGGTTTTCAAGATATACAGCACGAGTATTTTTGTTATCTTGAAACAAAGCTTTGAGTTTATCCCAAATATCTTGTGCTGTGGCACCCCTGCAGAGGATTGTTTCAAGCAGATCCGAGGAGATCGTGCCGTAAATCCAGTTCTTTACCACCGAGTCAAGCCGCTTCCACAACGCATCGGAGATGTCCGTAGGCTTGGGTGTCTTGGGATCAATGTGATCCAAAACATTGAAAGCGTGAGCATGACATTCGAAAAGTTCAACCCAATTAGAGTATTGCACTTTTTCTTGATCAAGGAGGAGAGGGATGGCATTCTTGATGTTGTTAACACCAAGGGTGGGGTGAAATTCGTTAGAGGGAGGTGGCGGTGGCTGTTCACTATCCTTGGTCATGGTGACATTGAGTTAAAACAGAGAAGGCAGGGGTTGGAAAAAAAATGTGCGGAAGCTTGATGAAGGCAACGTCCCAAATAAAACAAAAAAACCAAAACTTTGGAGAAAAAAAATTTCGAGATCTAAAACCTAAGCTGTGATACCATGTTAGATTTTGGGAAAACTCCTTAGCCTGGAGTGTGTACCATTGAATAATATATATATATAGGGGTTTACAAGGGTCGTAATCCTATTATGATAAGGATACGAAGTATATAAAAAATATATACAATATTATCCTAATCTGTGACAAATATTATCGTAAATATAATATCTATCAATAAGTATTTTGGTATATAAAGTAGTGAGCACAAATATTTTATCCTTAAACCACTAGTCAAATTAATACTCTTGTAGACACCTAAAAATGTCTCCCCAAAACCAAACCCGATGATGAACAACCTTTCACCGCCACTATTGGTCGGGTTTAGTATTTAATCGTATTTTATTAAATTCATATTTTTGAACAGTCCATGGATTAGTCTTGATGTTTGGTAAAAGCATAGTTTTAATTTCAGCCCAAACTTATTAATTAATTTTTAGCCCAAGCCTTTTTTATTTTATTGTTTTATTATTTATTTTTGGCCCAAACCCTTTATTTATTTTAATTTAATTATTTTCTTATTTTAGCCCGAATAATAAAAAGTCAGAAAAGGCCTGAAATTATCAATCGGCACTTAAAATGCCGAAAGAAATTAGGGTTAAAAATGTATTTAGACGGAAAAAAAGGCTGGAATTTCCCGCGCCACGGCAGGTACCTACCGTGTCACGGGAGGTCTGCCGTGACACGGGACATTCCGTGTCTTTTCCGCGTAAACCCTTAACGCGTTTTTTTTATCCCATTTTCTGAAAATTTCCCGCGTCACACCAAAAATGTACCGTGTCACGGGAAAGTGTACCGTCTAACGGTGGAGCTTCCCGTGTCACGGTACAGTTTGACCATGTCACGGGATACTTTTTTAGGGTTTTTATCATTTTAGGGTTCCGTGTGCTCCCTCAGCACATTTTCCCTATAAATACCCCCTCATTTCTGATGAACGGGGCACCGAGTAATTCGATTATTTTATTTTCTCTCTTCTATGCTTTAGCCTAAACACTAGCCTACCCTTTTCTACTTCAAAATTCCTTCTTCAAGTACTCAAAGGAGTCCATACTTTACTCGTGGTTCAATCCTTAAGCCAAGGCGTGAAAGGTAGAATTGTTTGAGGGTTTGGCCCCAAAATCAACTTTACTTTATTTAATTTAATTTAATCATCGTTTTATTATTTCCTTGAAGTTACTAACTCGTTTATTATTTTGTAGTTGCAAACAAACAGAATCAAAGTAAGAGTCATGCTCCTTGTTTTTTTTATTATTTTTCTAACGATTTTATGTTGTTGGAATTGTGATTAAATTGGTTCCAATATTAATGTTGTTTTATTATATTTTTATTGATCACCATATTGCATGTTTAAAGGGAATATGTAATTGAAAATCACGCCTAATAAGATAATTTGGACAACCGGTTTAGGATCCTTTTTAATCTTATTGTTTAATCAAGTGATCACAAATATTTTAGAATTATATGTTGCATTAATATTCAACCAATTTAGTTAAATAATAGTTTGGAGCAAATTGAATATTCTGTTTGTATGCCTTTGAGATCGCAGGAATGCATTTCACTATAAGAAACGAGTAGAGGCCAATACGGCGAATGTGACTCTATGACTCACTTCGTACCATCATCCCCGATCCTCCTTTCGTGGTTCCGAACCATATGGAGTTAGTAATCTCATGGATTATGAATGGGGTGTAACCTTCACGGGTCAATCGTTGTTGCCTATCGTTGTCCCTTATCGTGGTTGCCTTTTATGATCCGTGAACGGTTTACAAGTTCCTTAAAAACTTGTTGGCGGCTCCCTACTTTCCTTGTCCCTAATCGTATATGTCAATTCCTACTTCCTATGAGTGCCAAGCATATTCACAACATGCTTTTAACGTAGGCGCACTTCAAACGACGCCTACAATTTGGCGATTCCACTGGGGAGGATTCTTAATTATTTATCGATTTGAGTGATCGGTATTTAATTAAGATGAGTGGATGAGACTTAAAAGATTCTTGAAAAAATATTTCTGTGATTAATTTGGCATTTTTGCATCTACATAGACGTTTTAACGTCGCATTCAGGTCTGTCCCGTAAGAAAAATTGGGTAACTTGGTTGCGCGCGAAGGAAAACAGGGCACCAATCAAATCTTCTGACTGTCGTGCCACGGCAGAATCTGCAGTGTCACGGTACAGTGCACCGTGACGGGAATTTTTTTCGTGTCACGGCAGTCCTAAAATCAGTCCGGTGGCTTATTTTCTTTCCTCACAGTCGACTTCCTTCGATTTTTCAGAAAAAACGTATGTGTTCTACATGCGTCTTAGCCCCGGGGGATTTAAGCTCTATCGACCCAAAAACACTCATGGCAATAAGGGTTCATTCGAGTTATTAAATCCACCCAAACCATGGAGTCGAGTTCGATTTCATCACGAACTCGCGGAGCCGCCTGGTTGCATACACCCTCAAGGGAGGCTGCCTTGCTAACGCGTCCAAACTCTTAACCATGGTACCCTTTTGACACCCAAAGCTTGACCAATAGTTGAACATAGATCTTGACTTTGTTTATGTTCCGACTCGAGTCGTGTACTAGGTCGTTTATGATCGTATATTAGGTTCATGCACTCTTTTTTTGTCATAATAAAAAATGAGTGGAGTTTTCTCACCTATTTTCAAATGTCTATTTTTTTTTCCTTCTTTTCCTATCTTGAGCAACGAGTCAAACAATTAAGTGAATTATTTTATTTCACAGTACTTGGTCAAGGAACAGGGATAGATCAATACGGTTCGAGCCATTACCGCAACAATCTCTCAGTTCTAATAGGCGTTCAAAGAGAACTTTGTCATCTCCGTTACTCATCACCTTTCAATGGCCACTAAAGAAGACATTGAGAACATCAACAAATCCATTGAGGCACTGTCTTCCATGATGCAAACCCTTACCACTAGGGTCACTCCCATGGAACAAAACAAGGTCACTGTTTCCACCCTTGACAAACTGAAGGAACATATGAGTAAGATCTCTGAGGATTTCACTTATGTGGAACGGCCTCCCACTCCTTTGGATGTGAAGGATAGACTCCCTGAAAAGTTATCCACTGCTGATATTCCAAAGTTCAAGCCTACTTTCCTTGTCCCTAATCGTATATGTCAATTCCTACTTCCTATGAGTGCCAAACATATTCACAACATGCTTTTAACGTAGGCGCACTTCAAACGACGCCTACAACTCTGTAATGCAATTCACCATTTAGACTAAAGTAAACCTATGTTTAAAAAATGTAAAAAACAAATAATATATTTAATTAAATTTATTAGTGGTACACGTTGCTTTAGTGTCACATAGCGTTACACTCTTCAATGGAAATGTGTATCATTGATCAATATACTGGATATTCTAAGTATTTAAGGTTACACAATCTAGTTTTATAGATCGATATTCTAAGTATGCGATCTAGATTTCTAACACCTATAAATGGCAAATTATCTTGTTGCAGGGATATATTCTTGGCAATCCATTTACATGGAAGAAGGATTCAAAGCAATCAAAATTGGATTATGCTCACCGTGTCTCTATTTTATCTGATCACCTTTATGAAGTTAATGTTTAACTTTAATTATTGTAAGATATACTCCCTCCGTTAATATTTGCTCCATTTATCCATGTAAGGAATTTTAGAAGAAATTGGAGAAAATAATAAAATATGGAGGTAATGGGGTTGGTGGAAGAACAAAAAATTAAAAGAAGCAAAAGTAGTAGAGAAAATGTAGGAGAGAGAATATGAATTGATAAAATATGATTTATGTTGGATCCACTAGTTGAGAGAAATGAATTAATTATTGTAAAAAGTTTTCAAATAAGAAAATGGAGCAAGTATTTAAAAATGGCCGCAAAAGAAAAGTGGAACAAGTATTTAAAAATGAAGAGAGTATTTAATAGTACAACCTCTATTGTTTCATTTTGCTATTTTTTTTTTATTTATTTTTATGAATTTCACTTAAGTCAGAATTTGTTTGTTGCATTTAGAAATATGTTGTTACCTTTTTTTTTTTTTAATCGAATATATGTACCATTAATACTTAATTTGAAGTCAATTTTATACCATTGTGAACTTGTTTCCCTAAATTGAGGCACCTAAGGTTTTTTTTTTTCTTTTTAAAATTAATTTTTTAACCATCACATTTATTAATGAAGGAAATACTCCGTGAGTATTGCATTTTCTTTATAGCCAATATATACACATTACAGCCTTAACAGAAGGCACTAATTAAGCTAACAATAAGGAAAGAGCTAACTATGAACAATATACTAGGCTATAAACATGGTAACTAAATTATCTACATTGACCAAAGATATATTAGAATAATATATCTTAACATACCCCCATAGTCTAAGCGGGAGGAGGATGGACACTTAGACTATCCTTAAAGTCTTCAAACAGCACACGAGGGAGCCCCTTTGTGAAAATATCTGCAATTTGGTGCCTTGAAGGAACATGAAGAACACGAACCTCACCCCGGGCTACCTTTTCTCGAACAAACAAAATATCCATCTCTATGTGCTTTGTTCGTTGATGTTGCACCGGATTGCCAGAAAGATAAATAGCACTCACATTGTCATAATACACCAATGTTGCCTTTTTAATCGGACAATGTAACTCCAAAAGTAAGTTTCGAAGCCAACACGACTCAGAAACTACATTGGCAACGCCCCTGTACTCTGCCTCAGCACTAGACTTGGATAGTGTAGGTTGTCGTTTTGAGGACCAAGAAATCAAATTATCACCCAAATACACACAATATCCGGATGTGGAGCGTCTAGTATCCGGACACCCGGCCCAATCGGCACTTGTATATGAAACCAAAGATGAAATAGAAGA